ACCTTTATTACCGGTACTGAGAGGAAACAAATCATTTTACGCACATTTGGGACATGTCCCCCTCTTCTGAGGACAAAAAGCAAGTCCCCATTATTCATGAGTAACTTGTTAGATTTTATGGTAAAGACTTAAAGTTAGTACAAACTTTAAACCCTAACTTTGGCTGATATGTGATGTGATGTCATAAATATGATTATTAATCTCTTGGCACACTTTATTGATGACTCACCTGTCATTCATATTGAGGTGCATCACCACACTGAACGGTAACACCTGGATGCACTCTGCTGTCCTTACTGTCTGCTCTCAGCATTCCTAATGCTCTAATGGTAACTTTCAGGTCAGTTTTTGTGTTGTTGTGTGTATTTATCCTCCAGAAGGAAACACCCCTGGCTAATGCTGTGTTTTGGGCAGCGAGGAAGGGGAACTTGGCTCTGCTTCAACTGCTACTCAACAGCGGGCGAGTGGACGCAGACTGCAGAGACAGTGTATGGACACTGCATGCTGTGGCTGCTCAGATGCACACTTTAACCATATTCCACCTGTGGTAGGGACACAGAAAGCTTCAAGCCTTACCTGTGGGGTTCATGTAGTGCATGTTTGTACCATCACAATTCCTCATCCATTAATTGTTTTCTCTCTCTCTCTCTTTGTCCTATAAACAGTTGAAAGTTTTGCATGTTAAGCCAGAAATATGTAGAATTCTGTGGTTTCATCCCTGCCTTCACTACACTGTTTACCAGGTCATTGCAACAAAACAAATATGCTGATTAATGTTTCTTTCTAGTATGGAACAACAGCGCTGATGGTGGCATCATACAGCGGCCATTATGGCTGTGTTAAAGAGCTTATCATGCAAGGGGCTGATATCAACTACCAAAGAGAGGTATGCTGGGTAAATGAAACCCAATGAATTAACTAAATACTCTTACAGACTCCAAAACATAAAGTGTGGGTAAAGGTGTTTTTACATTGTCAGAATTAGGCAAATACGATATTAGTGAATGAACTTGACAGATGTTGACTGTCCAGGCTTTAAATATAGATGTGTTGACAGATGGGTTTATCTTATTTCAATGGAAGCATACTCATGCTAGCTTTACCCCCTTTGTCCAGCCTTTGTGCTGAGCTAAGGAAACGCACTGTCTGCTACCTCTGGTGAATTTAGAAGGTCACTACAACCTGCTGGCACATAGCTCCTTAAAACCCACTAATTGTTGTTTTTACACTTTCCAGTTTTCCAGACATGGATTACAAATTCGTCCAGACCAAAAGAAAAATATTGAAGTTTTAAACTGAATAAAGTTTTTAGTCTAGGACTAGACTTCCGCCGTGTCTGGAACACTGTGCCTTTAACTGTTAATTATTGAGCCAAGGTGTGCATATGTGGATTGTTCTGCTGGAAGACCCAGGCTAGCTTTGCTCCCTTTGTCCAGCAGTTGTGCTACGCTAAGCCAGTACTGCATCATCTGGTAAATAATGTCTTAAGATCTTGTATTATGTAAATTCATGTGCTCTAAATTTGTTTATACACCCTCTGGCTACTTGATTAGTTACACCTTGGTAGTTCTGGGTTGGACCCCCTTTTGCCTTGGAAAACATTCCTAAGAGATTTTGCTCTCTATTGGCATGACAGCGTTAAAGTCGCTCCAGATATGACATCCGTGATACAAATGTCCAGTTCTACCACATCCCGAAGGTGTTTTATTGGATTGGGATCCTGTGACTCAACTAGAGGTTGTTTGAGTAAAAAGGCAGAAATTGATCCATGCTGTTTTTGTTCGTACTAAATTCTAACTCTACATCCTGAAAGTTACAGCAGACTGTTGTCCAATTTTGGTGAGCCTATGTGAATTGTTGCTTCAATTACCTGTTCATAGCTGATAGGCCACAGCAGCGGGTGCTAGTTCTATCTGCTTAAAAGTTAAGGTTTTGTGTTCAGAGATGCACAACATGTTTATGCAACCTTTGCTACCCTGAACGCCTTAGTTGTAACAAGTGATCATTTGAGCTACAGTTGCCTTGGTTTCAGCCCAAAGCAATCTGGCCATTTAATCTGACCTCTGACATCAACAAAGCAATTCTTTGTTGATGTCAGAGGTCTTGCTGCTTGCTCTTTTTTGGGACCATTCTCTGTAAACCCTAGAGATGACTCTGCCTGAAAATCCCAGGAAATCTGCAGTTTTTTTAAAAATACTTACACAAAGTAACTTAAATTGACTTTCTTGATTTGAACTTTAACAGGTCTACATGCCTAAAAAGATTTAGTTGCTGCCATGTAATTGGCTGATTCAATATTTTTGTCAATAAGCAGTTGAACAACAAAGAGGCCAGTGAGTGTAGTCTAT